TGCTTCTTCAGTTCTGGAAAATAAACCTTATAAGCAAAGGAACAAAAAACCATGCCAAGACAATAAAAACAAAATCTGAACAAATATATAACAACATAATTATTTTTTTAATTAACTTCAAAAAATTAAAAGTGACTGCTCCTCTAAATTGCTTTCATCCACTCTCAGTGAGATTATTGCATGATATATTACATGACATTACATGATTACATGATATTACATGATTCTGGAGAGAATTGCCTACTGTTCAAGTCATACAGCCTTTATACAGCTGTAAACCTATCTTCACAGTCCAGCCATGGATCTCAATCACTTATTCACCGCATGCCTAACATTTCAACTGCTTATAGCAGGTGCTTTCAGTATTCCAGGAAAATCCATGATCCTTAACAAAAGCTTGCATTTTTCTGTCTACCAACTTTTTACTGCTCCTCAGTTTTACTGTCTGGCAAACAGATTCAGTTCAAAACATACTTTTTGACTTCTTAATCAGAAAGTTCACGGTAGATACAAGCACAAGCACTTGTTTTGCTTATTTCTAAAACATGCGGGCATTACAAGCCTAAGCTAGTGGAAAAGTCTCAGCGACAAAGGGCACTTCTGCTGTTTCCTACAAGATGAACATATTTATGTTTTCTCTGAAAAGATAGCTTACCCACAACTACTTTGCTTAACTCAATCAAGACGTGAGGTATCATCCATACCGTTTCGCTCCAGCCGTTGTCAAAATGTACACTTTACTTCTAACTACAGTGGAACTTCAAAAAACAAAAAACATCAGGATTCTAAATAACTTGCTGAAGTTGGAAGCTATTCTGGTCATAAAGCGGTATTTAAATCCCATTCTATTTATGAAAAATGGTGGAAAGAGGCCTAGCAAAAATCACTTGCAATTCATTTGCCTTTGTTGTAACTGTAATTGTCACTAAACTCAAGTGTTACCACTTCCACAATACAATGACAAAGAGTAAGACTTCAGGACAAAATGAAGGCCCTAAATGACAATATACACAACTTCCATTGTGAAACAGTGTGAGCGTAATAATCATAACTGAATAACAGGACCAAAAAAACCCCCCAAACTGCCGCAAGCTCAACTGAGCTGATTAAAGTTCTCATGAGAATTTCAACTGTGATTTGTTGTTAAAGCCTCTAGCAAATGGAAGCTTACACAAAACTTCTAAATTATAAGCTGCCCATAATGAGATGCTATGATTTGAAGAGACCTCTTATCCTCAGCAAAATCGGCTCAAAATTGCTGTATGTCAGTTTTACTTCTATCTCTAATCGCTTGAAGGAAATCCATTCACTAGAAGCAGAGCGGCCAACAGAGACTTCTCGCTACGATGATATATATATATTTTTTTTTTTTTTGGTTAAAACAGTGGTAAAGTAGAGAGGACTGAATTTTCAGGATAGCAAGTATCCAAACTTTGACGGCAGAGAGTCCAAAATTGGAGCATTTCATCGATGAAACCTCAAAGAAAGATGACTTGTGACTGGCTACAAATTACGTACTGAGAAGCTAAGACAGGACTGACGGGCCTAATAAAAGAATTATCCCAAATATCAGCACAAATGACAAGAGTTCAGAAACCACATTCAAGCAAAAAAAAAAGTCTTCCTCTAATCTGGCTACTTGAAATTCCAATAGGCCTACGTGTAGCTGCACCTCAGCATCTAATTTTCAGTAATATACAGCAATAGTTTTCAGTTCCTGAACTTTCTGTGTTCAGCTTCCAACTACTGAATTCCAAAAATGTCATTTAAAAAAAAAAAAAAAGGCGACTCTCCGCCCACAAGCTACTACTGTCAGGGCCACAGAACTGTTCTATTACCAGTATGCGCCAGCACACCAATTTTGGGAACTTTACAAGGGCTGTAGGTGAGGCCTCATTAACAATAGCAGAAAACGCCACGACCACAGTAGACTTGCTTACTTTGCTAGAGCTGATCACTACCACAATGGAACGATGCACTTGGGACACTACACGATTGCCAATTTTGATTCTATTAAAGCCCTTATGAATTTAACTCACTGAGAAAGATAGTAACTTATCAGATTTACCTCACAAAAATTGACTGGAACAGTAAACACCTCCTGATAAAAACCTGCCTTTGGTCCAAAAAACACTCGGTATCTATGTAGTAACCCACTTCGTTCAGAATACGGCTGCTGCCATCAAACATTTTATAACGTGTCAGCAACATGGATACTAAACAGCAGAAATCTTTGCCAACAATTAGATCCCTGCTGCAAACCACAAGCACTTCCTTTAGCTTACTTGGATTGTGATGCAAAAGTACATGCCTTGAAGGCAAAAAGCCTCTAGCCTGAAGGACAGGAACACGGATGTTGAGTGAAACTGAAGATTTGTCACATGTCCTCAGATGAAGGACAGGATGAAGGACCCCCTTTGGTTTTCTGGGGATTTGGGATTTTTTTTTTGGTCTGTTTTTGAGGATATGCAAATGAGGGAGACAGAAACAGCTTCCACAACCACATCAATGTTTGGACAAAACATGGTTCCCACTTCATTTTCTAACCATTTTTCATAAAAGAATGGCTAGAAAAGACAGAAACAAAAGACTGGATTTTACAGTGTAATCACTTTTTTTCTCCTTATGATTTCTGTTTTTTTTTTTAAACATATATATATACACAGACATGCATACGCACACATACACCCTAGGATTACATATATAGGATTATACAATATTGTTTATACAGACATACACAGAATGACTAGGATTACCTTCACTACCCATCATTTTTGTTGCAAAACGCTCAAAGACTAATCTAAAGGTTGGTGGCAGCATACTCTAGTAACTATTTTCACATCCAAAGTTGACAGAATTTTAGGATCTCCACCTAGCAACTGAAAGGGAAACAGGAAAGAACATGGCTCCCAGAGTACCTTAAGTTACCCCTGGAATCTCTCAGGCAATCCATGGTGTTATCAGTCTGAATGCTGAACGATACTTTCAAAAGTAAATATTTGTATTTTACCTTCCCTTGGATTGTCTTAGACTTGCATCACAGGCCCCTAGTAGCACTGCTGTGTTTACGTACTACATTTAGAGGGCCACACAGACAAATAGTCTCTCTAGCGGTTACAGATATCTATGCTTTTCCAATCAAAAATTAAATTACTTTTGGGAAATAAACAAATCCCTGCTGGTGGGGGGGAAAAAAAATTACTCATGGTCAGGAGACTTATCTGTGTCTCTCTGGCTGAAGACACTGATCAGCATTCCCCAAGTTAGATAAATATAGGATTTCTTAATTAAAGTACTTCCATGATTTTCATCTTTGCTTCAGTTGCCAGAGAAGAACATTGGACACCTGCCACTGCCTTTTTTTTTTTTTTTTCCTCTTTTAAACCCACACGCCTGTCACGTTTATGGTCATTACTACAGATATCAAAGGAAAACGTAAAGGACTGCAATAACTGATATGTCAATTTCTGATACAACAGCTATTCAAGAAAGCAGTTTCTGGAGAGAGTTAATATAACAGCGGGCCTGCATTTCTAAAACTAGACCCTTCTAATGAAAACCACTTAAGGTTAAAACCAAAAAGATACACTCAAATCATTAACTTATCTATGAAATACTTACTTGTTTTCAAATACAACAGTGAGTGAATCCTCATGGACATCTTTGATAAATCCCTAAAACAAAAACAACATTTCTGTTAAAAGAACGCATGCAAAAACCAAAACACGGCAGCAATTGCAGTGAACCAGACAAATGACCAGACAAATCAGACTTCATCATATTTACAACTGAAAACTCACTTTGCAGTTCACTGTTTTATCCACAGATATACACAACTGTTTTACAGGAACAAAATGAGAGAGATCCAGGCCCAGGACAATTAGTTCAACTCATAATTCAATGTTAAATAGCAGTGAGTAGCACTATTTGTTCTTCTCAAAACAAAACTGAGCCCCAAACAACTTGTCTTCAGAATGCTCCATCAACAAACTTGGACGGAAGTTGGCAATACAGGCTGCTAGACCACTTTGCTATATAGCTAGTCATGATATCATCCTTCACGTAGCAAAGTGGAGACAGTATGAGGCCAAATACCTGCAGGACCTCACGGAAAGACAAAGAAAGAACATAGTATTTTAAATTACTTTGCTGTCATAGAATATCATCTTCTCAGGAAGAACTGAGGAAAAAAATCCCACTTCCCCTTCTTTCTTTGAGAAGAGTCAAGGACTTCTTAAGGGGGCAGTGATCATATCAAAAACCTAAGGACAAACAACAACCTGACGGATGCATCTGTATTTAAGCATCCATGCAGAAATGAAATTTTTGCACCTCTTGTTTCAGAAAGGCAGGCCCACTGCAAAAAAAAAAAAAAAAACCACACATAGAAAAGGACAATGAAAATTGTACTAACTGCTTTGGCTTTCTCTGTAGCATTGTATTTGCTCAAGCACAGGAGGTTAAGAAGAAATATGTAGTTTTAAAGGAGTTCTACAGCTGTATTAATCGAAGTTCCAGGAAATATACCGAATGGATTTTACCTGCTGAATGAACGGGCAACTGAGCACCAAGAGCATATCAACTGTGCAAAGACTAATCAGCCTACAGAGGTATTATGTGCCAGCTCAAGGGAAAGTTTAGTTTTGACTCAAGGTTCCTCAGTATTGCCACGGACAGCGAAGGAGCCAATACCGACAGCTGGCGGCAAAGGGCCCATATAAGTAACGCTCTTTCTACTTGAACTGCTACTTAGGGCAATGTTAGGGAAAAGTAGCATTCACTTAAAACCCCCTTTTCTACTCCCTCAGCCTCATTTAAAACCATCTGCCAGCAACACAGGAGACTGGTTTTAACAGAAAGTATACTAGCAACCCTGAAGAAAGCACGTCAATTAGAAACCGATATCACCTCGTTGAACCACCTAGCATGTTCCTAATAAATCCTTTCAGAGGCCGTCTTGCAGTGAAGGAAGACGGCTTTGACAGCTAAGCGACTGAGAGTTGTCAATAAGCACACATGCAGTCAGGGATTTTCAGTTTCAAAAACGTTTCCAGTCAGGTAAACTGGACAGGAATACTGAAATTATATATCTGTTTTAAGAGGCAAAAAGCATAATGGGGCATACAGGACTTTACTGTGTGAAGTACCTGTTAGCTAACAGTACACGTAAAGCAGAACTTTTACCGTGCGTTTGTCCTGCCAGCATCCCTTTAAACGTGCCCCCAACACGGGGCTTAATTAGCACAGCATAAAGTGTAGTAGAACTTTTTATTTCTTGCAATTCATTTGTAAGCTCTATCCAAGAAAAAAACATGCGAGTCACAACAGTGTGAACCACAATAAAGAAATCCAGTATTCTAAATGACAATTTATCCGCGGGAAGTAGTATTTAGAGAAGGGGATTTAACCTCTTACTGTGGACAGCAGTTCATCTGTATCCCAAGAGGCTTTGATTCAGTATTAGGTTTTTCTTCATGATGCTGCTTTATTTACTTAGGATAAGACTGATATTTATGATAATATATTTATGTTATTACCTGTTTTTATAGTTTTATATTAACTCACGAAAAGGTCACAACATTACAAATAAAACATTAAATAAAGTAATATAATTATTTAAATAATTCAAATTGTTGGGAAGCCTGAAAGGGGTCTGATCAAAGTCTAATTGTAGAAATGCAAAACTAATTGTGAAGGATAAGCACAGTAAGTCAAAAAACTGAGGTTTAATCCTTCCTACTAGAGGACTTTCTCCACAACCCTAGCGAAGAAAAAACACTGCCAGGAAGTGAAGCACAGCAGTTCTATGAACTATAGACACAGTGCGTACAGTTCGTTTGTACTACAACTTGAAATAATCATTATCAACATGACATATGCCAAGAATATTGCCAAAAACTTACGCCTGTCAAAAGTAAAAACAGCTGCTTATTCCTTTCCTACCTACAGCCCTGACCTTTATCATCAGCGTTATCAGCCATCACTTGAAATTCCAATATAAAAATGGCATAACAGATTTCAAACAACTTTGGCTGACATTTAGGAGAAACAATAACACCACCGGTTTTATCTCATACTTTTTGCATCACAATACAAATTCTTCATATGAATAACTCCAAGTGCTATTCATACCAAATTTTACCACATTTAGACCAACGTTTTAAAGTTTTGGTGGCTAAAATGAGCCTTCTCAAGTGACTTGATTTTCGTAGGTAATTAACATGCAACCCCAAACACAACAGAAGATCTCAGGACCTCAAGAAAAGACGGAACATTTGCATTCATTTTTGAAAATGATAATTACAAAATCAAGCATCTCTAACAATTATTAGAACATGAACAACATATTACACCATACATCTAGAAAGTTTCTGAACTATTGCTAGGTTTGGAGGAAAACACACACACACAATATACTGTGTTTTAAAGTTTCACTTGTTACCTGATAAATTTTGAAAGATACTGAGCACTCTCATTCATTTAAACCAATAAATACCTGAAGGTATGTAAAAATCCTGAAATAGCTTTTACATTACTCAATCGTATCACTGATATAGCTATACAAGTCAACAGTGACTGAAATACAGAAGAATAATGATTACAGCAAGAGCTCCATTTGTGGAGTTAAACATACTCTCCATTGCACAGACTTGCAACTAGTATATTTGGAATACCAGTTTTCAAGACCGCGCATCTTTTTGCAGGTTGCAGCTTTTTCTTCCAAGTATCATATCTACAAGTCACTGTCACCCAAAGCCGGGCCTTAAGAGTCTGCATTTTTAACATGGATCTATGGTTTAACATAACCTGGAAACTGTAGCTCATTCAATTGCCAATTTAAGTGGCATCTCTGATTATTACATTAAAAAAAATTCCAGGAAAAATATGAAATTAATTTGGACCTAAAGCATTTGTGGGTACTTCTTCATTGTTGATTCCCTTATGTGATTCTGTAGCAGCTGTAATCACAAGTGACCTTATATAGCAGGCTTTCCATTCAAAGGGGGAGTTTTAGTACAAAACTGTCAGGTGGCAGGTCAACAAATTCTAATGAGCATGGGCGCTGAAACAAGCATTCCCTCCCACCTTTCCACCTCTAATCACTTGCTCCTATTCCCATTAAGTCTGTAAAACAAACCAGATCAGGAAACTCATTCAGGTTAACATTAATTTTAGAGGGGGTAGGGGAGACTAAGTTATTTTAACTTGGAATGTTTTGGTGGCAAAGCTTCCTTGAAGCGAACATAAAACTTGCGGGAAGAAGAGCCTAGGGGAAGACTCTTCAGTTCTTCTACTCACTTATTACTTACCTCACACTTTAAAGACCAAATTACAGACTAGGGCATAACTACACTACATAACATCCACAAAAGGCAATACAAAGATGATTCCTGCCCTCTCCTAAGAATCACTCGATCTGGAAAACACTAGGTAAGCTTATCTTGCTCCCTGTACGAAATTATGTTCTTTATGCATGTCAGGAAAAGATTTAGTATAATTTTTTGAAGAAGCATTCTGACAACTGGAGACAATTGAGAAAAATTTAATGGCTTACAGTTTTGCTGCAAACCTGAGAAATTAAGAAACTTTGCAACACAGAACAGATTTATTTATACATTAAAAGTTACATTACTCTAAATTTACAAGGCTTTGTTTAGAAATGACCTTACGAACATACAAACCATAAAGGACTAAGACTCACGTTTTCAACTCTGAATTAAAAAGGAGTTCTTTATCAATGAGGCAGCCTATATATTTGCACTCTACACTTGTGCTAGCCATATCTGATAGCATGGCAAAAACATTTCCTATGAAATTAAGTAACAACACATCTTCCTAACTTTTGCTCCAATGAACAAGGTACTCCCATTTCTGAAACTTCATTTCATAGCGATGACTAAAGAGAGGCAATGCCAAGCTTGAAAGGTCTTTCCACGTTCCTTATGCATCTCATTCCAAACAGAGATGATGGGGTGAAGTAAGCTAACAAGACACCAACACATCCTCAGTTAATATATTGGAATCAAAAACACATAGTGATTTATCTGTAACAACAGCAAGCAAGCTCACATGTAACAAATCTAAAAGCATTCTACACCATATATGAAACTGTGGAGGACATGAAGGAAAGAAAAATTAATATGTGACTTCACCTTGCCAGACCTCCGATTACAACTCTCCAGATCCTAGTGTCAGTCATTTAGATTATACCACAAGCTGGACCTCTCGAAAGTCCATGTATGCCCTGCCTGCAGCAGCTTGGCTCATGATACATACAGGAGACTGTACTGTACTACAGGCTATTAATGTCACGCTGGCTCTCCAGGCACTCTGATACAGACCTGCCTCTGCCACTTACTTGGCAGAAACCAGGCTCCTACCATGAATACCTGTACGACAAGACACAATACAGCTAGAACTGTTGCCTTGGTTTGGGATCAGAGATCTGGCAAGTCCAATACAAGACCATGCTGTGATAAGTATGAACAAAAGGGCAGGAAATTACAAAAGGATCACATGCACCAAAATCACTACAGCTGAGACTTCATCATCTCGTAACAAAGGAAAGGTCTAACATAACTTCACCAAACAGACATCTCTCTCTCTCTCTCTCTCTCTCTCTCACACACACACGTCTTCCTTTTTACGTGGGTTTTGCTCATGGGCTTTGGATTAGGATCTGCTGGTAATATAAATGAACATAT